AAAACAAAGCAACTTCATTTCTGCTCTATCCCCCCCACCACACACACACCCACACACACCTTCTAACTAACAGATGTTTGGAATCACAGTCAATCAACTGCTCATGTTATCAGTTACTGCAATTATACTATTAATTATTTCTGCCATTACCTGCAAATTCCTCTGCTACCTCTCGTGTAATCTCCCCATTTTAATCATTAGATTGCAAGCTTTTGTATTGGTCTGTTTATATTCTATTGTCTCTTTCTGATTGTACAGTACTGAGGAGTAAGTTGGCGCTTTTTAAACATCAGTAATAAATAAATAAAAATAAATATAATAGAGAAAAAAACTTTACCACAAATAGAGCTGAGAAAAAATAGAGATATAATACACAGAGCTGGGCACAAAACATAAGATAAGATACCTATACAATACACAGAGATGGGTAGACTTCAAAAAACAAACAAAACACACAACAGGTAGAGATGAGTAAAATGTAGAGAAATTACACAGCGCTGGGCACAAAAAGGAAATACTAATACCTATCCCACACAGCAAGGATCACTGTGATGGATTACACAAAGTTGCAATACAGAGATCCACACTCCTTGCATGTCTCTATATAATGATCCAGCTCTCTCTCTATATAATGATCCAGCTCTCTCTCTTAGCTCTCCCTCTCATGATCTCATCTTCAGTAGAGCTCCCGCTATTATAACGTTAGCCTTCTATGAAGTATTGCTGCTGTTATGAAACATGTCAGCAACTCCATTAGCTCTCAGCACACAGTGTGCACATGGTTAAAACAGCAAGATACTGATAGACTCCAAGCATTTAAATGGCTCCCGACTCACGTTAGCTCTCAGCACACAATGTACACTAGATTAAAGCTGCAGGGCACCGATATACTCTTTATACAATTTCCAGTGGTAATATGGAGCCAAGTAGTAACTGACATGGTTAACAGAATCAACAATCAGTGCAGATTAAAACAGATTGAAATCAGAATCAGATCAGTCCTAAGAGTCACAGCCCAGTCATGTAGTTTGAAGCCTCACAACTTTTCAAATAGCCACAGCATGAGTGTCTCAGGTCTGAGTATCTCAGCTGTAGAAGGCCTGAGTACTCTAATGAAAATGGTTTGTATGTGCAGTAGGAGTTAAATATATGCTTCCGTGGCTCTATACATATTAATTATATATTTGAGTAAATTCTCTTGCTTAATCAGCCCTCAGGCAGTCACTAGTGCTATGGGAGGAGAGAAAAAGTGTACCTTACTGGGAACAGAGTAAAATGTGAAGTCTTGAGATTCTGGATGAAGAACTCTGCAGCATTCCACCAATAGCACCTGATGGAGGATAGAGGCAGCAGAAAAAGGTCTGCCTTCTAAGTGGAGGATTGGAATTGGTATATATATATATATATATATATATATCACCAATTCAGCATATGTTACTCCAAGGAATTATTCACCACAATGTTTAATAAATCCAGCCTTAAAGGGACACTATAGGCATCAAACCAACTTTAGCTTAATGAAGCAGCTTTGGTATATATATATATATATATATATATATATATATATATATATATATATATATATATATATATCTCATTCCCCTGCAGTATCAATATGCATGTACCCATCATTTAGGAGCTAAATCACTTTTGTTTCTGTTTGTGCAGTAGATACACCTTCCATGGTTATAACTCACAAAGTCCGCATGAAAAAAAACGGTTTCATTTTCAATCAGATGTTAACTTACTTTAGAATTTTTTTATATTCCGCTCTGTAAATTAAACTTTAATCATACACAATAGGCTCCTGCATGGTCTTGAATGCTATTAACAGAGCAGGAGATATATTCTAAATTAAACAGAATTAACAATACAGTAAGCATTTAAACATGAAATCTCTCTTTACAGAAAGTGTTTAGGAAGACTGTGTAGGTCACATGCAGGGTGGTGTGACTAGGGCTGCATAAACTAAGTGGCTTAACTCCTAAATGGCAGTGAATTTAGCTTCGAGACAGCAGGGGCATGATCAATACACTAAAACTACTTTACTAAGCCAAAGTTGTTTTGGTGATTATAGTGTCCCTTTAACTGCATATGCGCCAGGAGGGAGCACACTCAATGGCTTTGTCTTAAGAATCCAAGCTCTTTATTGAATCATAACCTGATTAAATAAAGAGTTTGGGTTTTAAAAAGTAGACCATTGAGTGTGCTTCTTTGTGATGTATGTGTGTGTATATAGAGCCTTGAGGACTGAAACGTTGACACGATTTCTGGTGTACGATTGCTCAATAAATCTTCAAGATTTATCTACAAAGTCCTGTGAGTGCACCTTCCTTAACACACACACACATATATATATGTATATATATATATAATAAATAATAAATAATAAGTCAGCATTACCTTAAAGAAACACTATAAGGTCAGGAACGCAAACATGTATTCCTGACCATATAATGTTTAACCCACCAATTAAGTGGCTTGCCCCCCTCCGCCCCCGAATTAGTCCCATTAGAAGGAATTAAAAAACTCACCTTAATTGTGCCAGCGCTAGCTCCGCCCCCTTGGTGACATAATCAGAATTGCCGATTTTTAGCCAATTGGCTGAAATCGGCAAGAGGGCAAAGCCAAATGCTGTTTTGGCCAATCAGCACCTCCTCATAGAGATGTATTGAATCAATGTATCTCTATGAGGAAAATTCAGCGTCCCCATGCAGTGCGGAAGCCAGGAGCCAGGAAGCACCTCCAGTGGCCATCTGAGGAGTGGCCACTTGGAGGTGTCCCTAGGGGCAATGTAAACACTGATAAGGCAGTGTTTGCATAAAAATGCCTGAAGGCAATGATTATACTCACCAGAGCAACTACATTAAGCTTTCGTTGTTCTGGTGACTACAGTGTCCCTTTAACTAATTTCATTGTCAGCCATACACCCCTCTTAAGTTTCCATACCTAAGCAAGAGTTTGTGAAAAGTAGTTAGGGTTGCCACATTTCTTGGAAAAACATGCCACCCTTACTAAGTTGTATAATTAATTATGTATGAGTGACATCACATGACAGTTATATAAGAGAAAATGCTGTAAAATTACCAAAAAAACTACTGCTGTATTGTTCCGAGTGTCTCCCTGTCCCCCAGTGTCTCAAGTTTCCCACTGTCTGTGTCCCTATGTATCAGTTTCCCCATGTCGCCCAGTGTCTCAGTGTCCCCTATTCTCCCAGTGCCCTCATGACTTAGTGTCCCCATGTGTCGATTACACCAGTTCTCACAGTGCCCCTATGTATCACAGTGTCTCAGTGCCCCATGTCTCCCACTGTCCCCTAGTGTCGTGTCCCCAGGTCTCCTTGTGACCCTATGTACCACAGTGTCCCTATGTATCACAGTGACCCTATGCCCCATGTCTCCCAGTGTCCTCTTGTGTCTCCATGACACCCAGTGTCCCCATTTCTCCCTGTGTCACCCAGTATTCCCATGTCTCTCAGTGTCCCCTAGTGTCTGTGTCCCCATGTCTCCCAGGGTCCCAATGTCACTAGGACACTAGGAACACTGAGAGACATGGGGAAACGGTGAGGCATGGAGACACTGAGACAGGGGACACTGGGAGACATGGGGACACTGGGAGACACAGACACCAAGAACACTGAGATACTAGGAGACATGGGGACGAAGACACTTGGCAACACTGGGAGACATGGGGACACAGACACCAGGGACACTGTGAGACTAGGGGACACTGGCTGGGACACATGGGGATGCTGGGAACATAGGGGACTCTTGAAGACATAGGGGACTCTTGAAAACATGGGGACACAGACACTGGCTGGGAGACATGGGGACCTTGAGACACTTGGGGCACTGGGAGACTTGGGGACACTGGCTAGGATACATGGGGAAACTGGGAAACTAGGGAACACATGAAGACATGGGGACACTGAGACACTAGAGACACTGAGACACTTGGGACACTGGCTGGGAGAAATTGGGACATTGAGACACCTGGGGACATGGGGACACAGACACTAGGGACAATGGGAGACATGGGGACACAGACACTAAGGGACACTGGGAGACATGGGGACACAGACACTTGGGCACACTGAGACACTTGGAGACACCAGGGACACTGGGAGACATGGGACACTGGCTGGGACACATGGGGACACTGGGAGACTAGGGGCCACTGAGAAACTAGGGGACACTTAAAGACATGGAGACACCTCGGACACTAAGACACTAGAGGCGCTGGCTGGGAGGCATGGGGACACTAGGAGACATGGGGATAATGTGTCCCTAGTGTCTTAGTGTCCCCAGGTGTCTGTGTCCCCAAGTGTCTGTGTTACACAGGACATACTTGAAAACAAGATAAATCTCAATGTATCTTTCCTGGTAAAATATTTTATAAATAAATATTTTATAAATAAATAAATAAATAAATAATGTCTCCTAATGTCCTTTAGTGTCTCAGTGTCCCCAAGTGTCTGTGTCATAATGTCTCCCAATGTCCCTTAGTGTCTCAGTGTACCCATATCTCCCAGTGCCCCCATGTCTCCTTGCAGCCTTTCCTCCCATCCCTCACTTCCCTGAGCTGTAGGCTGTCCCTGCAGGCTGGGAGTTGCTGTCTGGACTCTCTGTAGCTGCTCCCCTGCGGGTCAGTGTGTAGAGATAGGCAGGGAGGGATATGCTGGAACTTCCTGTCCCTGCCTCTCTCCACACACAGCGACCCCCACTGGCCAGTGCTGGTATTGCATTGTAATCTCTGTTAATACTAAGAAAAATGCCAGCATTTGTATTGCCAATATGACTGCAATATCAGCACTGGCCAGTGAGGCCAGCTTTAAATACTGGCTGTGTCAGTAAAATACAAGCCAGGTGGAAACCGTAAGAGTTGTGTGTAAAAAATAAAAAATAAAAAGTACAATTTGTTTTTTGTTTTTAAATCAATGGGCCTATTTCATGGGCATGGGCCTGGAGCTGCAGCTCCATCAGCCTATATGTTAATCTAGCCCTGCGTATACCTGATAAGTATCCATATTCTACCTGTTAAAGCCCCCTAATTAACTCCTGCCTGGTGTTTGATGACTGGAACAGAGGCTGCAGAATACTGGGATCACTGTATTCAGTCTGAGGGGACCATGCACCCATCCCCAATAAATTAACACAGAATCTCCTAGATGGAGAGGGGAGAGGACTAGCCGGGAAAAGGTAGAGGACTTGGGCCAGAATGGCTAACTCAGAGATAACAGACACTCACTGCACACACATGCTTGAAAATTCTGTGCCTTATATAAACCAGGCCCTGGGCTTATGTATCTGATTCTGGAGAGTAACTGGGGACATCAATAGATCATACTGAGCTTTAATACTGTTTTTGTGTGTTGTGTTTATGGTGAGGTTGTGTTTCATATATGGAAGGTGACTGTGTATGACAATGACTATCTTCATGGAGTGACTGGGTGATAAGTGGCAGGATGAGTGGGATAAGTGTGACAAGGTGAGAGGTGTGTGACATGGTTTGTGGGTAGGTGTGATAGGGTGTATGTGAGTAAGTGTGACAAGATTTGAGGGAGTGAGTGTGAAAGGATGAGGTTGTGAGTGTGACGGGGTGTGTGTAGTGACTGCGGAAGGGTAGTGAGTGTGACAAGGTTAGAAGGGTCAGTGTGAGTTAGGGAGTGTGTGAGTGTGACAGGGTGAGGGGAATGTAGTGGGTTGAGAGTTGGTGAATGGCTATGGCAGGGCTAAGAAGTTAAGTTTCAGGGTCTGATCCCCCATCCTAATTTTGTTGAGACCGGGGAACTGTCCACAGCTGAGAATCTTCACAGTAACAAAGTGCTAAGTGTTACAGTACAGCAGAAACAGGAACTTCTGGAATGGGATTAAGTTAGAAAACAGCAGTTGATTTTATAAATTACGTTATTTGACTATTATTGTAAGAATATATTTACTGTAAGGGCAGCTGAGACATATATGACTCGGTATTCTCACAACACTCCAGACTATCAGCAGACTGTAACTTCCATTGATCTCAGGCAGCACTGAGACCTATATGTCACTTACACTTACTCTCAAGCAAGATAATGGCATCCAAATCTTCTTGAGATGCAACTCCTGTGCGCACAGGCAAGTCCTTTAATAGCGCAGAATGTGCACATGCATGCTTGGGCAAACCTCAAAACAGAATGCACATACATTCTCTCAGGCCAATGCACACAAGTCCTTGACAGCCTGGCTTGTCAACTAAATTGTATTTATTTTATTATTATTTTTTAGTAGCACAACCCAGCACTAAAGTTTTTGTAACCTACTGAGTTGTGACAAAATTTCACAAATAACAGTTAACCATTAAATATTTAATAATGCACAAACAAATGGGTCCCCCAATTTTTTTTTGCCAAAACGTCAGACAAGCAAAGCAGCTCTGGTGCATCACAATTATATTCTTAAACTTGCACCAGAATCCTGAAACGAGTATAATCAGACAGCTGACATCAGCGGCACCTTTATGTCCGTGAGTACTATTTAATGTACACAGACCTGTGTGACAGAGGCCATCAATGACTGATGATGTAAATAGGATGGTCTGCCAGTGCAAACAACTCGTTCAGCCTTCAGGTGCCAGGGAAAAAGTTATATCTGACGTAGTTCCTATAAAATAAAACCATTTGAACATTTTTAACTCACGTACTACATCAGGCATAGGCAACCTTCGGCACTGCAGATGTTTTGGACTACACCTCCCATGATGCTTTGCCAGCATTATTGGTGTAAGAGCATTATGGGGGGTGTAGTCCACAACATCTGGAGTGCCGAAGGTTGCGTTTCCCTGTACTACATTGTATATAGTTTCAAGCTTAATTGATCCACGTTACTTCAATTTAAACCAAATCAAAAATAAGACCAAGTAATTGTTCATACTCATTTAAGACTGGATTAATAAATGAATTAGACAAATTTAAACGAAAAATACTTTTTTCATAATGTGTCCTTTGTTATGTTCTAAATTAATTACTCATTAAATGGCTGAATAGTAAATATCCTCAAACTTGTTTTTTATTTTTTTGGTAAATAAAAGTTTTATGTAAGTTCGTATGAAGCACCCGCTACAAATTTTGTAATTTTAAGCTTTAATTGAAAAAAAAACCAAAAACATATTAAAAACAACGATTTATTGCTATGCCTAATAAATTGTACACTAAGAACTTTATTTACTTAAAACTAGATTTTACAGTAAATTGAAAACGGAACAGCAAAATGTAGGCATAAAAAATATTCTCCAAATCAAATTAAATGACTCCCACAGTAAAAATAAATGCTAAGCTTGGAAATGGAATGTGTAGAATGCATATTGGAGCAATGTTTACCATTAAAGGGTTTCTTCAATCATTTTTTATTTTTCATAGAATAATGTCTTATTGACATTATGCTATCAGTCCCCCTGAAAAAAAAAAAATACTTGAGTGTTTTTATAAAAGTTTTCACTTACCATAAACCAGTGCCTGGTGAAGCTGTTTGGTGCACCGTCATCTGACCTCATGAGGGCCGCGCCGAGGTCCAATGAAAGGCTCTGAGCCCATAAGGGGAGGAGAAAAAAAGAGGAGGGAGGACAAAGTGGGAAAATTACAGTGGAGGGGGTAGGGAGGTGTGCAAGCAGTGTGGGAAAGAGGGCAGACAAAAGTTTCTCCTTGTAGGCTCTGCAAGAGAGAAGCACTTACGTCTGTCGGCAGTGTGCACTGCATGCTTAATTATGCACAGAATTGATATTAGGCAGTCTGGAACAGAGTTCTGGGCTGCCTAAGTCACGTGTGCTGAGAGTACTACTAGTTCCCAGAACACAGTTGTCAATATCTCTGGATGTGCAGTTTTTCAAGCAGAAACACTGCACATCCAGGCTCCTGTCAGCATAATCACTTAGAAAAAGTTAAAGTGGTCATGGTGGTTGGAGTAAACCTTTAACTTCAGATCTCCCATTTATTTTGCATTGTGCAGAGAAGGATTAAAATCCCACATGGCTATAGCCAGGTTACAATTTTGAAACCATCCTTCATTCTTCGCGTAGGGATGGTAAATGGTGCCGGACAAATTGATGGTTCTGGGGACCCGTCTAACCTCTGGGCCCTCTCCAGTTTACGGCTAATCTTGCTTTGTGTATAGGTGGATGGTCACCGCTAAGCATTCTACACCGTGAAGTTTATTTGCTAAAATGAAAATTTAGAATTAGGGAATTTAGAGAGCAGGCAAGAAAATTGCAAATTGTATTTGAGAATGTTTTGAGCTGCTTGCTGTGTCTAGACCAGTGGTTTCCAAACTTTTCAGGCCCCTAATATTTCAATATTTTTCCAAGGCGCCCCAAGTAAAAAACATCTAGGTTGCATAAATGTACAGCGCTGCGGCATTTACTAGGCCCCTTTTCAGCAGAAATGTTTCCCTGTCAAGGGCGAATCCAGAACCTAATCTCGGGAGGGGCAATGGTAGCTTATTTAAAGAAACAAACCAGGCACAATAACCACTACAGCACTATGTAGTGATTATGGTGCCAGGAGTGCTGTGGTGCCCTCCCAGGGTAAGTAGCTAAACTGTTTAATAACAGTTTGACAACTTACCTGGGGTCTGCCGGGGTAGGGCTGTAGTAGGGAATAGGTGCAGTAAAGTGTGTGTGTGAGGAGTGCAGTGTGTGTGTGTGTATGTGTGTTTGTGCAAGGGGTACATTGTGTGTGTTTGAAGGGTTCAGTGTGTGTGTGAGGGATACTGTGTGTGCGTGAGGGATACAGTGTGTGCCTGAGGGGTACAGTGTGTGTGCGTGAGGGGTACAGTGTGTGTGTGTGAAGGGTACAGTGTGTGTGGGAGCAGTGTGTGCGATAGGTACAGTGTTTGTGTGGGGTGCAGTGTGTGTGTATTGAGGGGTACAGTGTGTGTATTAAATGGTACAGTGTGTGTGTATTGGGGCAGTGTGTGTGAGGGGTACAGTGTGTGCATGTGTGTGAGGGGTATAGTGTGTGTGAAGGTTACAGTGTGTGTATGGGGGGCAGTGTGTGTGAGGGATACAGTGTGTGTGAGGGGCAGTGTGTGTATGAGGGGCAGTGTGTGTGAGGGGTACACTGTGTGTGTATAGGGGGCAGTGTGTGTATGGAGAGCAGTGTGTGTGTATGGGGAAGCAGTGTGTGTTTAAAGGGGGAAATTAATAAATATAAACTTTTTTTAAATAAAAAAAAATTATAATTTTCATATCTTACCTTTACCTGGGAAGGAAGTCATTACTAATCCATGGTGGTCCTAGTGGTGAGAGTGAACTCTAGCAGCTCCTGAGGCTAGAGTTCACTCTGGCAAGATTTGAATTGTTGCCATGGTAACGCGGCAATGCTCCGAGCTTGTGAGAGGAGATCCCGGCAGAGCTGCAAGTTAGAGCTCCCCCGGGTCCTCTCTCCCTCCCCTGCCGGTTGCAGCATTACCGTGCTGGCAGGCCGGAGAGGAAGATCTCTGGTCTTGCAGAGCTGACAGGGGAGAGTGAGGCACGGTTCCCGGTGCTATGATCATATGCTTCAAATGCAATAGATAGGGTTAGTTCTACAACATCTGGGGGAAGCAGTGTTTGAGATTGCTGCAGCAGGGCATTTGAGCAGTAATTTTAGATAAGCAACGATATTTTGATAGATTGTCAATATAGTATAGTGGTCCAAATTCGGGAAAAGTCAACAGAGCCTTTCATAAAATACGTACCGGGTCAGTTACTAAAGTGAGCCTTTGGAAATTCGAAGTGAATTTCAAATTTCAGGCCAAAATAGCCAAAGTGGAAAAATTCTCCAGATCAAATATGCTTCCAGTCCAACTGCCTTGGCCTGAATTCCGGCCAAATCTCTTTTTAGTAAATAATCCCTGAAAGATGCTAGAATCTGGAAATTAGCAAAAGCTAATCATGCCCTTCTTGGCTAAATGTTTTGATATTGTTGCATATACTCTAAATATTTCAAGTATATTCTGACAATTTTATTCCATCTACAGTGGCACACTTGAATCTGCATCTGATGGAAGCATATACAATTTCTGGCTTGTACATATAAATCATGCAACAACCGTATCAGATTAATGCTGTATAGCTACTGAATGAACACTTCACACTAATGAATAAAATTAGCTGTGCATCTCTCCCCTCTGGGGAGAGTTCTGCTTTTGTTTACCGTTAGATACTGTAAAAATACTTCAAAACTGTGTGTGCAAGTGGCATGCCATGGTTTCCAAACTAAGAATATAAATGGATTATTTACATTGCTTTCCGTAACAAGTCATTTAATCACCTGGAGGTCTATGCACGAAAAAAGTTCAACTCCTGCACGTACACAACAGAAACCTGCACCTACTTCCTACTCCTGTCTAAAAATCTGATTATTGGCTCTGCACTTTTCAGTAGAAAAATTAAGCCTATGTTATAACTTCACACTGAGCAAGATTTCGGCCTTACATCAGGGTTTTTATAAAGCCACAATAAAGGGATCTTTCTTCCAATTTAAAGCTTTCAATAATCCATGAAAAGTAAGAAATTGACATTCAAACTCACTAAGCTGTAAAAATCATCATCTTGACCTAGCAGGCCAATTACCATATTACCACGGCTCATCTTTTACTGGTAATAGATGTGGTATATCCATAAAAAATATATATACCTGTACACATACACAAAAAACATACAAAATCCAGCACACTTACTTATTCACTAAAGGGCAATTTGAAAGCTCACAAAATGTAATCGTTTTTTAAAAAAAACACCTAACCTAGGAAAAAATAAAGGGGTTTAGTTACAGGATATGATCATACACTGCACAAGCCTGCAACAACTTGGTTTTATAATATGCAATATTTAAATAAGATTTTCATTAATATGTATATATTTATATACAACTGCCATTCAGTGTCTCCACCCTCTGCATGCAGACACTGAACTATATAAGGGTTATAGTGCCTTGCATCATGCAATATATTTTTTAGGTACTTATGTAATTAAACTTGTAGTGATGGCTAACCTTCAAAAGTACTGCATTTCCCATAATGCTCAGCCAGAAATGGCTGAGCATCAACCGAGGTGTATTTCAGGAACATTTTAATTGCAAGGATTGGCCATTAGTGGTCTATAGTGCTGCTATTCTGCATAAGGGGCAGTAAGAGGGGTTAATAACTACTTGATGCTGTCACCTGGCATGCACAAATATAGTCATCAAAAATGACAGACGTTAGGAGAATGGACATTATTAATTAAAATGTTATTTCTACAAGAAACCTGGTTGACAAAAAATAATACTTGTAATTGTTAAAACGATTTTAAAATCCAGGCTCAGTCTGGCTTTTGGGTACACCCAACAAATACCAATGGTCATTTACATAGTTTCCCCAAGGAGTGTATCCACATGTGCACCCATATTACAGGAATAAATGTGTGATCACAGAATGGCTTTTATACATGTGAATAATAAGTGGTAGAATTATAGCTTTTTTCCTTCTAAAAATTGTGACTTTTATTCCTGTATTGCAATAGCTTTTGCATTGGTATCTAGGTACAACAGGGTATATTAGCTAACATAGATAATACAAGAGTTATAAAATAGATAGATCGGCTTAGTATATTGGGATTAAACAATTTAGGTTTTGAAATATTGTTTTTACATTCGTCAAACATTTGAAATAGCCGGGACAAAGTCTGGACAGTTTAATTTTAGAATATATGACCTGGGGGTGGGTAGACCGATAGCTTATGTACACAGGCTCATTTCTAAACAATTTGGAGTTTATGCACTAAACACATTTGGCTGCAGGGAACTGAAAAACAAATTGCAAAATGTAGGGAAAAACAGGAAAAATTATGCAGCCTGGATATTATCAAAACTTTGCTAAATTCAGAAAATTCTATTTTCAATGTATTGCAAATCAGTATTGAGTGAATAAACAATAAACATCTGCATTGTAGATTACAGACAGATTATTATAAAGGCATGCAAAGCATCATTAGATTTGTAGTTCTATGCACATACACAATAAAACTTTGGACCTCAAAGAAAAGGCGGAATTTAGGCTTTTGTCCCAAGAAAACAATTGCGCCATGTAAAAAGCGGCACTTGGGTGCATCTGTTTCAATGAACAATGCAAGTACCACAACCACTGCATTGGTTCAGAGCCTTTAGCTGGTGCTCTTGGCCAATCAGCAAGCCCTGCACAGCAGAACTTTGCACAGTGGCGCTAATGGAAGCTCCTAGTAGGCTGTGGCTGCCTGACCCGAGGTAAGCTGTCAAACCATTTGTGAACAGTTTGAACATTTTGTTACTTAGCCGACAAATTACTACAACTCACGATTTAAAAAAAAAAAAGTCTGATAAGTAACATTATACCAAGCCGTCTGGCAAATAAAATTGTAAAGTACTTTATTGGAAGCGTATCATTGATTTGCATTGTGAATAGTTGTGAATGTCATAAAATGTAGGCAAAAACAGCTGCACTTCAAAAAAAGATATATATATTTTTTTATTAATAATTAAAATATATTGTTCTGAATTCTGAATCTAATTTGTTGGTTTACCACAACCCTGTGCCTGGATAATAAATTGCTATCTAGTAATCATTACAATGTTGTTCATGGGACCAACCAGTGTCAGACTACTAGGTTATGTACACGTCGGATATTAGATTTTGGTTCCGGCTTCGGAACATTACAGAAACATACAGAATAAGATCTAAATCATATTCAAAAATAATTAACATTTTGTTCTGTATTGCATAGCTCTTTGTATAAAAGCTCAACAAACGTTAGATGAAAAACCACGACAGGTGTTCTCTATTCCTTTTGTACCCTCTGTCTGTAATTATGCTTAAAATTATTTGCTATATTGTACAAATCGCTTTGTATAAAAGCTCCATGTAAAAACTGATTAATAAATACATATGATATGGCAACTTCCTCTTTACATTATGGTGACAAGCCTACAATACTCTATGCACTCTTTTATTTCCAATCTGCTGTAGCAATCTTGCAGCAAAACAAAACGAATATGTAAAAAAAAAAAATGTTTGTTTCAGCAATGGAACTTTGGACACTGAACTCCCTGTTTTGCTATTTGTTGTAGAGGATTTGGCTGCTCACTGCTGTTTGCCACTTGAATAAAAATTTCTGGCCGAAGTAAAGCAATCGTACTTAGTGCACTTTTCAAGTTAAACATTCCCGTATTGTGAATGAGTACAGCTTATCTATGAATGTAAGCGTAAAAACTGAATAGGCAAAGATAAATCACTCTGCAAATATGAAACAGCAATGCTCGGTTTACATAAAGGACATATGTGATGATTGGTTTTATTCATAATACGAAACATTCCCTTTTGTGTTTTAATGTTTGCATCTGTGCTTTATAGTATAGTAAGAACCATTGATCCCTTATGGTGTTTATATATAAATATAATTTGTGGGTGAGGATTTACTGTAGTAAAAGTGGTTGAACTGCATCGAAAAAGTTTTGCAATTGCAACATTTTCTACTTTGTGAGATACAGCTGGTAAAAGAAAATATAACAAGCATTAATTGAAAATCCAAAATGATGTATGTATAACAGAAATAAAATAGCTTGTATTTGATCATATTTTATGAGAAAACAAAACCAAAATAAATCTGAAGACATTTTAAAGAAGGACTGTTACTTCAGAGTTATTAAATATTATGCTTACGCGCGCCTATACTTAGAGGGACACTATGTCACCAGAACAATTACAGCTTATTGTATTTGTTCTGGTGAGTAGAATCATTCCCTTCAGACTTTCTGCAGTAAACACTGTGTTCTAAGAGAAAAGCCTAGTGTTTACATTAAAGCCTAGTGAAACCTCCACTGGGCACTCCTCGGATAGCTGCTAGAGGTGCTTCCTGTGGCAGTGCTGCACACTGTGCAGTACTGCCATTCAGTGTCTCCACCCTCTGCATGCAGACACTGAACTTTCCTCATAGAGATGCATTGATTTCATTTATCTCTCTGAATAGATGCTGATTGACCATGGCTGTGTTTGACTTGTGCTGGCTCTGCCTCTTATCTACCTCCTTGACAGTCTCAGCCAATCCTATGGGAAAGCATTGTGAATGGCTCAGACCAACACTTCTGATGATGTCAGCCAAGCAGGCAGATCGGGGGCAGAGGCTGCAGACTTGAATACAAGTAAGATTTTATTATATTAAGGGTGGCAAGGGGGAGTTGGGGAGGGATGAAAATAAAAGTACATGTTGAGATCCACACAATCCTGCAACTGGGCACCTATTTCTTCTCATAATTTAATATATCTTGTCTGAACTGGACAATGACATAAGTTAATATAAATTAAAAAATTTTTTACAAAACACAGTATTCCATGAACAAGGTGATAACAAGTTCTAGGTGGTTTTCAGAGTTTTATTCAATGGTGTAAATTCCAGATAAGTGGCAGTTCACCTTTAAGACAAAAGTAGAGACTGTTAGTACAAATCCAGGATAGTCATCACGTATGCATTCTTAGGGCAAAATACTTTGACAAAATAACAAACAGTTGGATTGAAATGATCCTCTAAGAATAATTATATTTCTATGCTATTTCAATATAGCAAAATTATTAGAATTATATTGTGGAAAATGCAGAATAAAATTACTTTAAAAAAACTTTGAAATCAGAAAAAAAAGAAAATGTGATTTTCAAGTGTACATAATTCGGTAACCAATTCATTGCTTGTGACCCTGGATTTTAGCCTGGTAGGCAAAAGTAATGTCAACATAATGTCATTTGTGTTTAAGACACATTTCTTCTCCTAAACTGTTTTTGTGTCTTATCTATGTAATGCCCTTATTGACTTGTATTATTAGTATAAACAGCGTTTCTTTGAAGTCTTAAGGCTGCAGATTTAGTGATACATTATAAAAACATTTTGTTTATGCATTACCCACTGTTCTTACAGAAGAACACAAAGTTTCATAAGGCCTCAGGAAATCACGATCGGCTGGGCAAGGCCCTAATGGAGCATCACCAGTGGTGCTATCTCCTACAATGGGCAGGTCCACCCAGAAAGGTGCTGCGCTACCTGGAGGCAGTTCCTTGGTGTCCTCAGATGCGGGACACCATGAAACTACATCAGGATGACGGGACAGGACCACGAAATCGGCAAAGGACACTCACAATTCGGACTGACCTGCAGAAAGCAGCTCAATTGGGAGAAAAATAATCTGTTTTTCCGTTAATAAACCACACTAGTCTGATTTACTAATTTAGACCTTAAGGGCAGGCTTCCCCAAACTCCGGCCCTCCAGATGTTGCTGAACTACAACTCCCATGATTCTCAGCCTATCTATTTCATTCAAAGAATCATAGGTGTTGTAGTTCAGCAAAATCTGGAGGGCCGGAGTTTGAGGAAGTCTGCATAGGTGACAAGTTAACATTTGAAAAATGAAGGCCAAACTAGTAGTCGTGGACAAACATTTGCAACTTAACCATGTTTAACATTTATTTTTATTGCTAAGCTATTTTTGGAATGATTTTTCAAATTATTACATCTCTGGAAATTAGAATAATAAAAAATTATATATATATCATATAACTTGTGTTTATCTCTTTTATGTTGTGCACTATGTACTATTTCTGAGTTGTGTTTCATAGCTGTTGTATACCGCAAACACAAACTCCAAGGAATCCATGCTTAAAATGTAATGAGGTGAAAATGTGATTCATGGGGGGGTGGAGCCTAGCACCTGAAGCGGACGGTCGCTTGGCCGCGGAGCTCCGGGCTAAAGAGCAAAATAAACGACATTTAGCACCTAAACCCAAACACCTACCCAGTGGCGAACAGGAGAACCACAAGGTCCAAATGGGCCACAAGAACAAGAGAGTAAAGCCCGACAAGCCCCGCCAGAGCATGGACATCGGGGAATTATGGCGGCAGGCGCACAATGCAGTAGGCGCCAAGATGGCGTCCCTGCACGGAGGCATCTCAGACTTCACAGTCGGGTCGTTAGACGAGGAAGGGGCTCTGCTGTTCCCACTGCCACCACAGGCGCCACCACACAAAGGCCCCCACGCCTGTGACCATGGAGGCTATTGGGGAGCTTATGGCAGACCATCGCAGGAAGATCGCGGCCGACGTGGCACAAATTAGAGACGACATCAAAGGCATCACTGACAGGCTGGGAGTAGTGGAAGCCTCCTCAACCAGACACACTAACCAGATCGCAGACCTGCAAGCAGCAATCAGGGACCTACAACAAAAATCCTGGCAGCATGAACAGCAAATTGCCGCTCAAGAGAATAAGCACCGCCAAAACAATCTAAAGCTCAGAGGAGTCGCCGACTCCATACCGGAGGCTGAACTTCCACATTTCATTAGACGACTCCTCACAGAGCTATTAACCCCAAAGGCAGCGAAAGCGATTAACCTGGAGGGTCTATTTCGCATACCACGACCAGCAAAGGCCCCACCTGCTGCCCCAGGGGACTTAATACTATAGTTTCAATCAGCTAGGGACAAGAAGGCGGTCCTGGAGGCCACAAGAGGTCAGTCAGCTTACCCCTTTGAAGGGATGACCCTCTCCTTTTACGCGGACCTATCGGGCGGGACACTGGCGTGGAGGAGATCCCTGAGTACATTTGCGGCCCTCCTGTGCCTCCACCAAATACATTACCACTGGGGCCCAAGCCGCACCCTCAACATCGACAAAGGAGGCACCAAGCACGTTGTCCACTATGCACAAGAGGCCACTGAGATACTGGGGTTACTGAATCTCCCCACAGACCCATTGGCTCAAGCGACACAACAAACAGGTCATATACGCCCACTCGGAAGACACATCGCGGATGCCCCAGAGTTAAATTTTACTAGTTGTTTGTCAGGACATTACAACTCAACGTACAATGTTACAATGTTATTTTCAGCTCACTTCAGTTTGGTGTTTAGTGAATAAGCTGCGTTGAATTTAAATGGGATACATAGTGGTGTTACAGTCATAGCCAAAAATGAAAAATACATTTTCATAGCAAGGATCCTGTGTGGTTAAAGTTTCATCAGCTATTTCCTGACAGAATTATACACTGGGGTCTATTCATTAAACTCACGTGAAAAATTAGGCCAGAATTGCAGATTTAGTGGGAAATTACCAATTTATTAAAAAATAAATTTTTACCCAAATTACCTAAATTACCCTCAGGTCTGCTCTCAAGTCAACACACTTCTCTAAGGGTTATACAATAAAGTGAGCATTGTTAGGAAATTAATGTAAATTTTATAGGGCTATTCAGAAATGTCAGGAATGAAAGTGTATTCAAAGTGAATTTCAAATTTGAGGCTTAAGTAGCTAAACTAAAAGCATAGCTGACATGGATAGATTTTTCCAGTTTGGCTACTTTGGCCTTAAATTTGGAATTCCCGACAATCCTCACTTTAGTAAATAAAACTGTAAGCGAAAATACAGCTAGGTTGGTATTTCTTTTTAAATTTTGCTGTTTTGGCCTTTAAAATGGCCTACATCCCAGGCGCTCACATGACAGAACACAAGATACAGCCCCGGAGACACATGGCAAAATAGGAGATACAGGACCCCAGACGAATAGGTAAGACATACCTAACGGAAAGACACAAATCTGACAGGGCCAAAGACACAACCGAGCACTAACCCCTCATTGAACCTACTGTCCACGAGCATGCAGATGAGAAGAGGAGACCACTAACCAGCCAACTTTAGACACCATTACTCACACCAAAAGAAGCACCGTGACATAACAACTGGACGGTAGAAACAGCCCGACCGCCACAGCATAAAGACCACAAATACGCTTGACATCAGACAACAATCTGGGGGACTGAAAACTGCTCAACAGGTATTGCCCTGGTAAGGCCCACCTCTGAGTACACCAACCTTGATTAAGATTTCATACACGGTGCATGTTAATCCAGCTATACCATATATGTGCACACCAACAAGCAATGTGAAGAAGGCTGTGTACGGTGTCCAGACTGTGACTGATCGATTCCCTGTTTTTACGCTGTATGATTTTCCCATGATAATGACCCTAGAATAAGCTTCTTTTTTTTCTGTAAACCCCTACCTGCTCTACTGAAATTGAAAAACAAAACTGATTTTTTTTTTTTTAATGGCCTACAATCTAAAATGTGAATTAAAAGTGAATTTTAAATTTTAGTCCAATATAACTCATTTGAAAATAGTGTTTTTAAATAGACTTTTTTTAGCTTAAATTTTAAATTCACTTTGAATTTTTAGCAATTAATACTTCAGTGCATGAACCTACCAGCGTTGTAATATAAATCACATTATCTTTTCAGTCTTGCTTCCAAATAATTCAGAGAGACAGTTAGCAACAGTGCAATCTATGACTTGAAGAAAATGACACCCTTAGCTTGTAAACAGTAAATATAGCTAGCATGTAAACTGCAAATCACATCGCGGGCAATGAATTGGACTGTTAAACTGGTTTGACTTGACCTTTACAAGTTAGCTGCCATCATGCACTTGAGATACCAGTCATATATGTCAATCATTAAAGTGACAGTCCCGCTAACTTCTAGACGTTGCTTCTGTAATAAATTATACAGTCTGCTATTTAAAGATAACATAGTAACACACTCTGTGAGCTTGGAAAACAGACACCTGTCCGTTTGAACCAACCTATGCTGAATCTCTGCCATTGCTGTTCAATGCATGTACGTATTTCAATTTAAACCAGTTGCTGAATATTTTCGATACAGATAAAGCGAAAATAATAGCTTGTCATTGCAGTCACATTATAAAACGATTATTAAGGCAATAATTTACAGATAAGTACAATTTTGGAAACCAAACCTGACATAATGTTCTAAAATATTCTGAATAATAAGGACAAATACTTAATGGGAAGAATGGATACATAACTAATAATGTAAACCAAGTACCCATAACCCAGAGGTGCCCAAAAGGTAGATCTGCAGATGTTGTAGATATACAACTCCCATGATGCTTTGCATGTCTTTAGAATGCTTTAGGATGACAAAGCATCATGTAAGTTATAGTTTTAAAACTGTTTTTGCCTCCCTCATGCCTAGTTACTCTTAGCATTCAAGATGCATGTAAACTACATTTCCTTTAATGATAAGATTTCTAGTCTAGCTAACCGGCATTTATTTTACAAACATCTGCGGCACCATAGGTTAGGTCAGGGGTGCCCAGAAGGTAAATCCCCAGATGTTTCAAAACTACTACTCCCATAATGCTTTGCATGCTTTTAAAATGCTTTAGAATGACAACGCATCATGGAAGCTGTAGTTTTAAAACACCTGGGGATCTACATTTTTGGCACCCATGACCTAATCTATGTTTGTAAAATAAATGCTGCTTAGCTAGACCAGAAGTCTCATCATTAAAGGAAATATAGTTTTTAAGCATCTTGAATGCTGATAGGTAGGCATTAACGAGGCAAATACAAATCAGATATTAAGAGATTTGGAAGCATTGTTGCAACCATCGTTACAACTGCAGAAAGATGTGCAGAGTGCAATACATCTACCAAGCTTTTAATTATGGTTGTATCAATTTGTAACTGTCTTATGCTGTGACTCCCATCATGCTCACTTAGCCATTAGCTGGCTAAAGCAACAATCCTTACAGAGGAGAACATGTATTCATTGCTTTCCTATGAGTTTTACGTGACTATTTTACATTGCCAGTGTGGCAGAAGCACCTTCAGTAGAAGTCAGTATGACAGCCACTAGTGGTGGGTTTAATTCTTCAATGTAAACATTGCAGTTTCTAAGAAACTACAATGTTTTACATTACAGGGTTAAAAGGACATGACCACTGCACCCAGACCACTTCATTGAGATAAAGTGGCCTGGGTGTCCCTAGGGCCCATTTTGAAATTCACTTTCAGTTCTCACTGTAGTAAATAACCCTGAAAGGATTCAGGGGATTTCAAGAAGCTGAAATCTCATAACAGACACGGTTAATTTACTACATTTCTAAAATGTGGAGATCTGACAAGAGGATCTCCCATTTTAAAGAGCTTGCTGAAGTGCTTTATGAGGAGTATCTCATAATAACGACAGTTTATAAAAGTGACGATTTCTATTAGAAATCAGCACTTTTAAAAATAATTAATGAAGCCACCCCCTCCCCCCCGCTCCCCCTTACTGTCAATCAAACAGCTGGGAATGGCTCTTCCTCTGGAGCCAACAGAAGTGGCAGTCGTACTCTAAATGAGCACACCGACCACCCCCCTCCATTTCCCCCCCCCCTGCATACCATTGATTAGACCTCAGACAAGAGTCCACAGACCTCAGATCAGTATGCTGCTCACACACACGTTCATGCAGGGAGGGAAACCTTCAGAGGCTTTCCCTGTGAAGAGACTGAAAAAGGAAGGGAAAAGGTATAGCATACATGTCTTCATTGGAGGTGTATCTACTATAAGTTCTTTTAAGGCAAAACAGCAGATGTGGAAAAATAGTTGCATTGCTGTATAGGTTTTCCAGCTGTTTTGGCATACAATTTGTAACTCCTTTGTCAATGATCCACATTTTAATGCATAAACCCTACTGTCTCTACTATCAAATAGCTTACTGATTTGCCACTACAGATGCCATTGCAGTTGTGCTCAAACGTGAATTGTCGTTTCTCTTGAAATTACGCCATGAATAAAACAAAAATAAAGATTGAGCAATTTACATCATAATCCAGTTAACTCCAGGCACAACCAAGGCACACAATGCAAATGAGTTAAAGAAACAGAAACATTTCTCCTCTTTTCTGTATGCTTTCTCTAAACTGACTGTCAGGTTCAGAGCTTATAACTATGACTGGCACTTGCTGCATTAATAGATGTTAATTTCTATATTTCAATTCATTTCTCATACCTCACTAATACATAATTGTTAAATAATATTGTGAAAATTGTGTTAATGGTTAAACAAGCTAAACTTTATTTAAAAAAAAAAAAGTCAAAGCTATCCAGTCACTGTATATTAGATTAAGTTTCTGTTCGCTTTGTTACACACATTCTATTCTATTGCAAAATCTAAATTAGTAATAACAAAATAATCTGCCGGAATGTGGCTTTTCTGAGACATCTTTCCTTAAAAAAACAGAACCCTTGTCAGTTATTTTCGGAGTTATTGAGAATATACACTCTGTTCCAGTCCTTTTTTTGTTCTACTGCAATTCTTTTCTTTTTATCAAAGGATTTTTAATTAAATGTCTTTCCACTGCCTGTAGCAGAGAATTGTCAGTATCTGTCAGTTATTTTTTTAAATCCTCAGGCTTTATTTAACATTGAGTAAAAAAAAAAGCCAATTTTACAACAATTTTTACAAGTAACTCCGCGAGCACAAATCATTCTATTGGTGAACAGAGCGAATATTAGGTATATGTCAAAATGGAACCGTTTATATTTAGTGCGTTACTCTTGCTTGCTCTGTGCCAGTTCTTTTCTACCAGGGAAAAGAATAATTGAATGAGAACAGAAATACCCACGACTCTCTAAAAGGAAACCTAAACGCTGTGTGAAGATACAGAGTAATTTTAATTGTTGCCATATTAAACTGGCACTTTCAGATTCACTATTAAAAATATAACCCCTTCATGCAGTCTACATTGGGGATGTCCAAAAGCTATATCCACAGATGTTTTAAAACAACAGCTTCCATGAGGCTTTGTCATTCTAAAGACACTCTAGATGAATGTAAAGAATCATGGGAGTTGTAGTTCTGCAACACCTGGGGATCTTCCTATGTGGCACCCGTGGTCTAGGCAGTTATGATGCAGGTAAATTACTTAAACAGAAACATATAGGGTTTTTGTTTTTTTACTAAAAGTAGAATTCAATGTGTATTCTAAGTGATGATCAAATTTAAGGTCACAATAGCCGAAATGGAAAAATTCTAGAAGTCGTCTACCCTTTCAGTTCGGCTACTCTGGCCTTAATTTGAAATTCACTTTGAATTCTACGTTATTCTGAATTTCCTACGTTTGTGATGACTTGAGAACTAATTTGTAAAGCTTAGAATAAAATAACCAATGCAGAGCTGCCCTTTTTTTCCCCAGCTGTGATATTTTGGTCTTGATTTTGCAAGTTGTGTATTTTTTCTTTTTCTTTTTTTTCCCCAAGTGAACAGAACTTGCTTTTTAGTAAATATGTCCCTTCAGTTTTGGAAGCTCACATATTTACTTTATCTCGTAAAGTACGCAATGGCTAGTAAAGATTCTGACTTCCATGGAAGAGGTTTCATGTTTACGGAACGTAGACTTGGTCACAAATGTTGTACATTCTACAAATCTCTGCTTAATACCCTGTTGTCTCTGTTGTTTAGGAGTATCCATTTATGGCATCATCAACAATTAAAGGCTAATAATGGAGTCATTTAATAACAGTTGAATAGTCTGAAAGTGACCATTTTAGATTTATTTAACAGGTCCTCCATAGCAAGTTAACAAATGAGGCCCAGCATAATTAAACTAGAATTTCCAGTGACCAACATTTACCTCTCAAAATGTCTCTCCATGATAGATAGCTTCTATTGAAATGTAAAACAATGGACATTGAACCATATCTCCTTAGCATTGTACACCTAAAATGGACAGCTATGGTCATGTTAAATGCACCTTTCATGGCAGTAAAAGTGTCCCAGGCATCTCTGTATAATGTGCACCAGTGCAACAGTGTGACCATTAAAACAAGCCTTAAGCAAATGCTACACTAGAAGATGGGGCTATATGCACCCGCAAATCATGCGTTAACACTATCTGGAGAAACACATGGATACCCCTGTACAGTATTGGAGATATACAATTACGCTCTCTCCTAGTCTTCAAGCGCTGCAAAATTAGTTGGCGCTATATAAATACCAATAATAATAATAATTTAAGAAGTGCCTCAAAAACCATCTCTTCAAGAAAGCTTATGGCCTTCCAAAGTAACCTCTACCTCACATACCTGTCCCTTGCTCTTTCCTAAAGGGCAGCACTCTCCCACCTTGTTTGATTGCTATCCCCTGTCCTATTGTGTTTTATACCCCACCTCCTCTAGACTGTAAGCCTGTTTGAGCAGGGTTCTCATCAACCTATTGTTCCTGTAACATTTTGTAATCGTCTCATTAATTGTTACATTACCCTCTCTTATAATATAGTAATGCGCTACGGAATATGTTGGTGCTATATAAAACCTATATATATATATATATATATATATATATATATACATATATATATATATATATACACATACACACACACACACAGATAACATCATATTTAGATATATAAAACTATGCTTTTATTCGATAGATGCTGTCATCACACACACTCAACTGAGGTGCCTTAATGTGTTGCATTATATTCTAATTTACATATTATGATGTATACTGCTTATCATCGCAAAGAATTTTATTCTAACTTTGGAGGATGCAGACAAGCTCTGACTGATGGTGACTCCTCAACATTCCCAGAATGCCATGCAGAACATGCAAATAATAACACATATACAGTCAGCTTGTGACATTCTCAGAGGTGTAGTGTGTGTAGCTAGAGGCGTTTCCAGGGCATGGGGCAATTCCAGGATTTTTAAGTGACTTCATTATTGACTGATGGTTATTTATATAGAGGAGTAAGTCATTTAGAGCAAGGTTAGAGTGTTTCCCATGCTAACTAATTCCTTAATACATAAACTACACTGCTTATTAAACTCACATTACTTGGAGGTTTATTGTTGTAGATCTCTGTGATAAATTCATACACTTCACACATTGTGAGCATTTAGAATAATAGAATACCAGATCTGTTCACCAAAAAAACAACAAAAAAACCCACAACATATATAATAATAAATAAATACGTTTGGAAACTGACTTGTGAAAGTCTGATATTTAAATTGGCTGTTTCAACCGCATTGTGCAAGGTGATTACAAAATCGGTAACACTCAACTTTTGCTAAATAGGACAAAAAGGACAAGTGACATAGAGGAACTATCCTCTCAAGAGAGGCAATGATAGCCTGCATGTGTGCGTAAGAAGTGCATTAGAACATTTAGTGCTACATAATTTGGTACGTTTACTTTCCATTGAATGCAGCCTTTTTTTTTCCAAGTGCTGACTGTAGAGTCAGACTTGCACCTGTTGAGGTTTATGTCAGACTCTGACAGCAGAAAGGAGCCTTCAAAACAGCAAGTCCCTGTGGCAGGCATAGTACTGCTGAATCAAATGCGAACTCCATACCACAAATAAGAAATACCCCTCGTGCCTAATCCACGTGATATACTATTGCATTATACTAACAAGAATTATTTGTTGTGTTGCGCATTTGGCTAATAACGGCAGACAGTAATTTGCTTATTCCCTGATAACACCATGTATTCATAGACCACTGAATTGTAGTGAACTGGAAAATAAAGTATAAAATTCAGTCTCAAATAACTAAGCTGTGTCTACAGCAGAGTTGAAGAATTTTCACAAATTCGTAATTTTTGCCTGAATTTTTCAGTTGGATTTTAATTTGCTGCAATTTGAAGATTAGTGACTAAACCGCCAGAATCTAATTATGCATTCCTGTATTGACAAAGTATCTACTATTTGGGAAGATCTCAGATGGTAGACTGATTTAAAAAAGAATTAATGACAGAATGGGAGAATTGATTTCTAATGGATTATGGTAAAAATACATATTGTAATCAGTGAGCAGAGAATGTAAAAATAGGTATGGCTTGCACACTTCTTTACCTGCCTAAGAAGTAATGATAAAAAAAAATAACAAAACAAAACAGGATAAAAACACAAACAAACAGGAATATAGTTACAATGACCTTTAATTAGAGCAACATACAAAATACTGTATGGCTTGGAAATGTGCAAATAGCTGATCATCTAGTGACCGGGTATGTGCTGAGGGGGTAAATGTGTACTGTCTGTGGATATGCTCAACCAAAATGAGTGCTTACTCTGATAATGAGAACACATCCCCCTCCCTCCAACATAAAGTGACTTAGATAGGACTTCATTCCCAGCAGCAGGTTACAGTCTTAAACATATTGGTACAAATGTCCATATCTGTTGTATTGTTCCAGAAGCTGTAATTGCTTAATTTGGAATGCTTAATCTAAAAGTAACAAAAAAGGTAATTGTCTTCATATAAGTGATTGTTGCTGTAACTAGGCAGGCATAGTACTGTGATAGTCTCTGTGGCTTATTCATTCCATTACTGGTTACTTACTGTAAATGACTTTAGAAGTACTCAATTATATTTATAGTTAGTTAAACTGGATCTGGGGAATGAGAAATTGCTTTGACATATATCTAGCCAGGAACCTGTCTGAACCAGCAAATTACTCTAGTTAACTGATTAACTCCCAGGTCTTATTTTTTTAGCTAGCACTGAAGAAGTGCAGAGGGAAACATCTGTTGTGTTCAATCTTAAAGAAGAAAAAAAGAGCTTTTTGTGCAGTGACCACTTACATTACTCAGTCCTACTGCAACTGTCTGATACACCATTTGCATAAACAGCAGGCTGACAGTTTAACCTTTTGAGAGCCAGGCGAGTGACGCAGAAAATTCAGCACACATATTGCACTCAATGGGTTAAAAGGTATAGGATATGCATATTTTATTTCTGTAGTGAAGGGGATGGGTTCTCAATCGACTGCTAAAATTAAGTGAACTCAAATGGTCCTTCACATCCTAATACCCAAGACAAATTAAATAAATGCTTAAAAAAAACAACAAAAAACTGCATGGCAAATTGAATTGATCAGTGTGGACATTACTTTTGGGTAATGGGCACCTCCATAATCCTTTGATCTGGATACAATGTATTTGCCTTGGGTTAAGGAGGATAAAGTTTTGGTATAGACACTCTTCCCAATTTTGTTTTGTTTCAGGATTACATCTTGAAATGACATTCACCATTTAACCCACTAACTGCTGGAGAGACCAGCCTCTTCAACAGTGGTGCATTCATTTTGCAGTCAGGACTTACAAATTTAAAACATGCATTAAAACGCACAAACAAAAAAAAAACTATCACTTTACAATTCTTTTTGTTGGTTTGTTTTTTTTCAGTTCCATGAGGTAGATTCGTTTTGTAAAGGAGACAGCAAAAAAAAAAAAAACAATGCCAAAACAAAAACAATATATATATATAAAAAAAATATCTATAAAGCCACAGGATATTAAGTCACTGTTTTCTTACCTTAATTTAAGAAGTGAAACTATACAGACATAACCACTTGCCTAATAAATGTACACCTTTTGCTAGACTAGGGCACCGCCCATCTGCAAACATAAAATTTATAAAGACATCCATTTTCTTGGTAGCATACACACATACATTAAAATAAAGTTCTGACCTTTGTATTGCAATGATCCAGTTTGTGGTTGTTGTTTTTGTTTAAAAAAAACAAAACAAACAACAGCAAAAAATAAAATAAAAAATCCCACAATAATAATAATAATAATAATAGGAAATCCTATAATAAACAATCACCGTGCGTATTGTGATTTCTGCCCAGTGGTTCGAGTCTATGATCTAGCACAGTACCTTCGTAGTCCAAAAGGGATCCACTGGGCAGTTTGTCTTCTTTAAATAAAACTTCACAAGTTCTATCCTTCCCCAAGGGAGCAGCTTCAGATTCCTCCATGTATACACTGTTACCATTACTTTGAGGATACCCATTGGCATAGTGCTTGCTGCCTGGTTTCCTTAGGCATAGCAGCTCCTGGAAAGCGTACCTGAAGTCTGGACTCCTGCAGTAGATGAGGGGGTTAAAGGCAGAGTTGACATATCCCACCCAGTTCAAGAAGGTGTAAATATAGTCAGGGATGACGTCACTGTATATCACCTGGACAATGTTGACTATGAAGAATGGGAGCCAACACAGGGTGAAAGTGCCCATGATGATGCCCAAAGTTTTTAGTGCTTTGTGCTCCTTCAAGCAGAACTTTGAGGTCCTCTTGTTGCCTTGCTTGCCATTTGTGTCCTGTTGGGTGTTCTGGCTGTGAAACCTACCCTCACACTTGTCTATCTTTTTCAGCTGTTTTTTGGCCTCCTGGAAGACCCTAGCATAGACAAAGATCATAACCACCAAAGGCAGGTAGAAGGAGATGATGGAGGAAGATATGGCATAGGCTGGGTTGGTATAAAAGTAGCAACAGGTGTCATCAAGGTAGCATTCAGTAGCCTTCTTCTCCTCAGTCTTATACCACTCCATGTAGATAGGGAGAAAGGAGGTGAGTGCAGAGACCACCCACACCAAAAGGATGACAATCCTTGCTTTGCACTTGGTCAGCAGGCTCTGGTACTTGAATGGAGAGGTAATGGCAAAATACCTGTCCACTGCTATGACACACAAGGTTTCTATGCTGGCTGTGACACACAAGATGTCCACCGCTGTCCAGAACTCACACCACATGTTGCCAAACTCCCATATGTTCAGCATGATGGAGCTAGCCCCAAAGGGCACCACAATCAGACCCATCACCAGGTCAGCGCAAGCCAGGGAGGTGATGAAATAGTTGGTGACCGTCTGCAACCTCTGGAACTTGGCTATGGCAGTGATTACCATGATGTTTCCAAAAACAATGACCAGGACTATGATAGACATCAGTATGCCAATGCCCACCATCCAGGCTTCCCCGGGCTTCACTGGGACATTACTGGTCACATTGTCCTGCAGCGGTAGCGCCGTACTGTTAAGGCTGATATCCATGGTTATTTTTTTGGGGGGGGAGGGGGGGAAGAGGGAGATGGGGGGTTTTGTTGGGGTTTCCACTCCTTAACTTTTCTCAGTGGATTTTCTTATCCAGCGCTGGAGATGCTGTGCTGCTGCATGAAAGCTGTTCTTCCCTCTCCAGTCCATTCAAGCCTTGGAGAAGCCCCCTTACCCTGTGATAGGGTTCATGTGTCAGCGCTCTCTGTCCTGTCCTCCACTGACAGCCGCTTCTCGCTATAATCCGCTCTCGAACCCAGTGCAGTCTATTTTATCAACAGCTCAGTTTACGTCACATAGCGGCAGCCAATCCCAAGAGAGCCGCTCAGTATCAGCGTTCTATTTCCTTTAATAAGTTTTTGCGCCGTGTTACTAAGTAGCTGCCCTGCCATAGACACACACACTCGCCACGCTAGGAATGCACTCTGGGTTCTAGAACACTGAACTTAGAATCAGTGTTTATTTTGAAATTTGCATTGATGATTGCAAGTTTAAAACGCTTTTTTAATGTTTGCATTGAACACAGAATTGTAGTTCTTTAAATGTGTTCATATATGTCTGAATCAATATCTGCTGATAATTCACATGCTTTTAATATTGGGTCTGTGTTATGGAAACAGCCCTGCTTTGCCATTTCTCTATCACACTTATAAAGCTATTTCTTTTTTATACGAATATATGCCTGGTTTAGCTACTCCCTTTTTAAATCGACATACATAAGTAAATTACTATCAATAGATATTATTTAAACGCAGGTCAATTGAAACAGCTTGGGCATTTAGTAGAAGCTTAATGTATTAATAGTATTATGTTTAAAACAAATTTCTGGTGTAATAAAATGAAAAGGTCATATTAAAATAGCTATTGCAAGTAACTTTTTGTTTCACAAAATAGTACATATTTGGCCATTTTTTATTCACCAAGATAGGCACATTAATAAATAATAGTACTGATATTGGGTACACCGTCATTATTAAAGAATGTATCTGTATATTTTACTTTTTCTAAGCAAGCACACATAGGACCATGCATTACTGATGATGTGTAAGAAATTTCATGAGGTGTTTAACCCCTTAAGGGCCTAACGTATGGAATAAAAGGGAATCATGACATGTCACAATTCTGTCTCTAAAAATCTGATCAAAACAATTTGTGAATGCATATGAGCTTTGGTAGATTTGCTGAAAGCACTATTCTGATATTAAACTATTGAGTAATGTATGCTGTTTAAAAGACAATATAGATATTTGTACATAAAATATGTTGTATGATTTGCTGACTATATCACATGTCATTTGGCAAACTACCATTTCTTAGAGTTAATCTTCCTTTAAGTAAATCAAAACAATATTTTGCTTTAATGTTAAAAAATTGTGCTTACTTTCGCCAAAATTATTTCTGCAAACGATTTTAGCACAATTCTAGGTGGTTGTTTTCATGAAAGGCTTGTCTAAACTACTTATTCCCCTAACTGAGATATTTGTCAACATGTTACAAATGAACCTTGGACTTTAAATGGACCATTAAATAAATTCTTCCACTGAAGACCAACAGGGTTACACACACAATTATAAAAGAGTTAAAGAGGTGATTGGAAACATTACTTAAGTCAGCAGTATTTCCACTTCAGGTACTTTGGCCTAATAGTTGAAATTTATCCTCTGGGTTTGAGCAGGGTCCTCATCAAGCTATTATTCCTGTAACATTTTGTAATTGTCTCATTTATTGTCAAATTCCCCTTTTATAGTGTTGTAAAACGCTGCAGGATAAGTATATAACACACACAGGCTCACAAACACGCACACACGCACACGCACACACACACTTTATAGTAAAAGAGAGAAATACATTGCAAGAGATAGACAGACTGAGAGACAGATTATATTATGGTTGTGTGTACCATTGCAGGAACACTTTATAATTAAAAGGAGCAAACCATAAATAAATGATTTTCAATATTTTATTTAATGGTGTAATATCCTGAAAAATGCAAGGGTAGATTTTACTTTTTTTGTTTGTATGAAGATAAATACTATATGTAGCTTTCTTTCATACCAAATCCATGTGCTTTGTTCATCTTAAAGTACTATACCAGGATTTGGAGATCTGTTAGTGAATTGCTGGTCTTCTACTTAAATTAGCAGTAGAGTTATCTAGCAAACGTATTGCATGCATTTATAATGCTACCAGTATGCTTTCTTAGCTCAAAAACGTACCATAGAAATGAATGCGATGCTTCGTGAATAATCACAACACAGCCACTAGAGGCACACCGTTCACTTCAAACAAATAAATGAGAATAGTTTGAGCAAGTAATTGGAACTGCTTATAGTTCCATTCACATTCACTCACAACACATTGTAAATATTTTGAAATGAATAATAAAATACCACGAGCAACTATATTGTACATACACTGTGTACCTAGGGAGCTGCTAGAAACACCTGAGGCTTGAGTCCAAAGCAAAACTCAGTGATCCCTACAATAACAGAGAGGTGCAATATGTCATGATCTATCAATGTTATGTATGTTATCCATGTTAACTCTTTACCCATTTGTAACGGACCGTTTTGCACACAAGGGGTAAAAACCGTTTAGGCGATCGGCTCCCTTTCCAGAGATACAGGCACAGCTACTGCAGAACACCAAACCCCCGAACTGGATACAAAATAGCACTCCAACTCCCGAACTGGAACCTCCCAAATAGCTGCTAGCAGACGAACAGGAAAAGCAGACAATCGGCTTACACTCCTGGCAATCAGTCTCTAACAGCATACAGTGAATCCCCCCAAGAACGAGATAAGGCTCCGTGTTGAGGGTCAAGCAGTGGTCTGTTTAATGAGGGCTACCTGCCCGGCATTTATGCAGGTCTCCCACCTGGTGGACACTCCCCTAGGGGACCAAATGGGAGACTGTGACAAGGGACAGACAAGTATACAAATAGGACACACAGTCACAGTATATTCCCACAATGCATCCTGGCTTCCTCCCCTCTGCCCTGGGAGATAATTGGGAAGTAACTCAATTATCTCCCAAGACAAAGGCAAAACTCTATTACACACGTGGGAACACAAAACCAGCATAACACTTTAAAATGCACAAAGTAACATTTACTACATTAAACACAGGCATGTAGCACATCCCCAGATAGCTCAGGTCTGAGTGCACATTATTAGGTGAATGGCACTCAGACTACACGAATACAGTTCAATCGCCATGGAGCCAAAGTCTTTACAGTCAGTTTCATACGAATAGGCTCCATGGGATTCCTATCTGGGGTATAAGACATTCACACAAAAATACCGAACACCGGGTCATTCGTGTGCTTTCACCGAACAAGAAGGGAGGTCGGCGGCTTCAGCGGTGTTCGCGCAAAACTGTGTCCGATTTTAGTTCCATGAAAATAGAGGCGAACACCGCTGTTCATTCGTATGGTTTAAAATGGCCGCGACCTCGTGTTCGGGATACGAACGGCGGCCACCCAGCGTTCATCAATTAAGCTGCGGTTAACCGCAGCTTCAGGGAGGTTAATTGCCGGCACACTCCAGCTCCCAGGTGGTCCAGTCATTCGTACGGTTGTTCGGTAGATTGAAACTACCGAACAACCGGCAGAAAAGCATGAATATGGCTTTTCTGCATGGAAAAATTCAGTCTTTTAAAAGGGGGCCATAGTCCAAAGGCAGCAGGCGAGCAACCAGGCTTCTCCAATGCAATGTGCCTGCTGTTGATTTTCTACAGGATTTTAATGAAAGCATAGCCAGAAATAAGCACATGTCATCATACGGTTAGGCCGGGCCGATCTTGTGCGGACGTGGTGCCCGGAGGTGGGGGGCGTCAAGAGGAGCCCTGTCACAGGGTGCCAAGGAGGTAGCTGACTGGCCAACTTAGGGCGCCCCCGACGCAGCACTAATTCAGTAAGCATCTGCTACCTGGAGGCAGCCAGCGTCAGCGGGGAGTAAGTGGTGAGCAAGCTTTTAGTTCATTACTCCACCCTTGTGCACCCTCTGTAATGCCAGGAGCTGGAATATAACTCCATTCCGGCATACTAAACAGCGTGCGGAAGGAGTGAGGTGCTGCCCCACGCTGGACCCCAGGGAAAGGTAGGGAGGCTGGATGGGCCTCAAAAACTAAAATAATTTGTGAGAGTGTGCAAGAATGTGTGTGTGCAAAAATCTGTGAGTGTGTGTGTCTGTCAGTGTGTGTTTGTATGTCTGTCAATGTGTGTGTCTGTCAGTGAGTGGGTGTCAGTGTGTGTGTGTGTGTCAGTGTGTGTCTGTCAGTGAGTATGTCTGTCGGTGAGTGTGCCTGTCTGGCAGTGAGTGTGTGTCTGTCAGTGTGTGTCAGTCAGTGTTTGTCTGTCAGTGAGTGTGTGTCTGTCAGTGTGTGTCAGTCAGTGTTCGTCTGTCAGTGAGTGTGTGTCAGTGTGTGTGTCTGTCAGGTAATATGTGTGTCAGTGTGTGTCTGTCTCTCAGTGAGTCTGTGTCTGTCTGTCAGTTAGTGTGTGTGTCTGTCAGTGAGTGTGTGTCTGTCAGAGAGTGTGTTTGTGTCTGTCGTGAGTGTGTGTGCCAGTAGTGTGTGTATCTGTTGGTGAGTGTGTGTGTCTGTCACTGAGTGTGTGTGTGTGTGTGTGTCTGTCAATGAGTGTGTGTCAATGAGTATTTGTCTAATCACCTGATGTTTCTTCTAAAAGGCACTTACTTGTTTCAAATAAAAAAGACTGCCTTTTAGAAGAAACCTCAGGTGTGCTGCATATGTATTTTCTTCCATTTGATGTCTTAAGGGATTGTCCCTCCCTTTCTGGCGAACCCTGCAGGAAGTATTCCCCCTTTTATAGTGTGTACATTATACTCTTGCTTTTTTTTTTCAAGACAAATAAGTGTGTGTGTGTGTGTGTGTGTGTTTGTCAGTGACAGTGTGTGAAGCTACTCACTCAAGGTAAAATAATCTTTCTGTCAGCCATCCTCAAGCTATTAAGCTGATGTGCACTGTCCAAGAGTATATATGTGCAGCAATCCCACTGAAAACAAGACCACTACCTTTCCCAATCAATGCAGGCATTGGGGATTGCAGCAAAGGTGTGAGTCAGTAAGGAACTGTCAGCAAGTGTGTGTGTGTGTGTCTGTCAGTGAGTGCGTGTGTCTGTCACTATGTTTATCTGTCACTAAGTGTGTGTGTGCCTGTCAGTGCGTGTGTCTGTCAGTGAGTGTGTGTGTGTTTGTTAGTGAGTGTGTTTCAAATCAGTGAGATTGTGTGTCTGTCATTGAGAGTTTGTCTTCCAGTGTGCATCTCTCAGTGTGTCTCTATCAGTGAGAGTGTTTGTCAGTCAGTGATTATGTATGTCTATTTGTCAGTGAGTGTGTTTCACATCAGTGGGATTATGTGTCTGTCATTGAGAGTGTGTGGCTGCCAGTGTGCATCTGTCAGTGTGTCTCTTTTAGTAAGAGTTTGTGACTGTCAGTAAGTGTGTGTCTGATTAGAAAAATTAGTGGGGCTTAAATATGGACAAGTAGAGTTGTTGCATTAGCATTTTATACCCCAGAACAACCTCGGAGTAACACCACCCGTCCCATAGTAGCCTGGGGGGAGCATTAAACTATTGATGTTTGTCTTTATAATAAAAAAAAAATCCAAACACTAATATCTTCCTGCCCACTCCATCAGCTGTGGGGATAAAGAACCTCACTTTCAGAGCTATGGCCCTGAAAGCCCGTCCTAGACAACACCTATGATCAGTACACTTTTATAGAAAAATTATATGTATGAATACAGCCAAGACTCTTTCTATACTTTCTGTTACAAGGATAAATTGAAATTAATAAATCAATGCAATGCTTTATCATACGTATGGTTGTAGTTCTGGATTTAGAAGTTTCACTGTAAGTGATAAAGCTTAATTTACCGCTCTAAGAGTTTTTATGTTTATATTTAAAAATAATCATTCATTATCTTCCTTATTTGCATAATTTTTCCAGAGCATAATGTGGTTTGACTGATGTCACCTATACAGTAGATTAAGTACATTTTTTTTTTAGCAATTGATGCATCAGATTTAGTGTGTACTAATATTTTTGTGATGTATTGAACAGCAGGTGGGTCCTGTATCCTGAAGACATTTCTGTACAGCCTGCGTGGAAAAAGATAGTATGCAGAGGAGGAACATTAGTGAAGGTAATGTAGCAATGATTCCTAAGATCATATAAGAAACTAAGCAAATGGAATAAACAGAATGAGAATGTTGAAACAAATTGGAAATATGAACTGGATACTAATATACAATAGAAACATGTTTCACATCTATTTGACGCACATTCAAGTTCTTTTCCCATACACTTGCTGACAACTCACAGGAATGCACTTCATACCGTTCATGCAAAAAGAGTTATTTACTAAACTAAGAATTTTGAGGAAGCTGCAAATTATAGACAAAAATAGTCAAAGTGAAATAATTCTCAGCTTCACTTCACAAATTTGAAGACTATTGATTAACATCAACACGGTACAAAGAAAAGCAGTGACAACCTAGATAACATAAAGGGTTACTCTACGTACCATAACCACTACAGTGTGAAAGGTTACTAATTTAGAGATGTCACAGAAGACTGAAAATGCCACTGGTGTCTGAGAGACTGAAAACAATTTGGCTCCTTACTTTGGGATTGCACACCACAAGCACTACAAAACAGTCTTTCATTAAATCATCAACATGTTATATTGTGTGGGGTGCTCAGCCTTTTGCATACAATTATACTTTATAAAGTGGAGTATGTTAATTCCATATAATAATATAGAAATTCAAATACTGTGTATACTCCAGAGAGCAAATTGACCCTATATTTTAATTATTCCCCCAAAATATATTACATATAATAAAAATATGTGGTACTTTCTCTTGTAACGTGTGTATGATCAAGACTAAACAACTTGCTTAACGTAGACTGGATATCATGGTATAGTAAGATCTGATTTTATATCACATTATAGTATTTTAAGGAAAATAAATTTGAATAAATGTTCACTACTGGAATTGAAATATCACTGTTTGTGACTTGTGGAACTCCACACGCTAGAATTTAAAAAACTGAACCTGTGGTTTAGCAAACAACTGTGATGCGTTGACAACTGGCTTATCAAATGAAAGAGTTAGTAAGGTCAACCTGTAAATGGCTTCTGTATGAACTAGTATGATGAGATAATATCACATGCATTCACAAAGATTAGGACCCTTGTCTGCTATAGATTTTCACGTGGCAGCATCCCTTGGGTTTTAGAGAAAGGAAATAATGTATACTGCCGGTAGAGACTGAAGGAAATGATAGTCAGTTCAGAGAAGATTACATACATTTGAAAAAGTTCTGATTATTGTGCACATTTTACTATATCATGTGAAAGAGAGACTGAAGAAAAAAAAAAACCTGAAACTGACGCTGTTATCTGATTGGTTGCCTTGCCCAATCAGAATACAGCTGGAATTCAAATTATGGTTAGTGACCAAAAACTCACAGATGAGAATTGTATCCCCCCGCTGTGCAATTTAGATATACTGTGGAAGTAAAAATAAGCAATATCTAATTTCTTTACACAGGTTCTTTCATATAAGTTATAATTGTATCGAGGTATTTATGTCCTTTTAAGGCCAAAATAACTTGGCAATCAGTTGTGTTGGAACTTTTCCAATATGACTATTTAAACCTAAATGTTTTCATTTCAATTTACTCCCAGAATCTGCAAAGAATGTGATTTGCTGTGTTGCATAAAATATCTAAGTTCTATTCAATTAAAGGAAAGTGTAGAACACTGATATTAATGATTCATTAAAGGAACTACTATTACGCTAGACTGTAAGCTCGTTTGAGCAGGATCCTCATCAACCTATTGTTCCTGTACGTTTTTGTAGTGGTCTCATTTGTTGTTAAATCTCTCCCTCTTATAATATTGTAAATCGCTATGGAATATGTTGGCGCTATATAAATGCCGATAATAATAATATTACAAACATATATTCCAAACGCTAGAGTGTTATTATAAGGATTTACATTATCAGGCTCCATTTAAATGAAATAAAGTGTTTTACTCACTCACAGTCCTCATTCCAGTCACTCTGCCTCCTCTGGCCTGAGATCATCCTGATTATCATAGATTGTGCAATGGTTCCAGATAGAGAAACATTTGGAGTCTAGCATGTAACCAATCATCTTCTTACAGATATGCATTAAGTCAATACATCTCTACGTAGAGTGTTCAGTGGCTTCCTGCAGAGTGTGGAGACCCTGAATATTGGTCCTGCTATTTTTGCAGGGCTGACTCCAGAAACTCTGTCTAGTAGCTGCAGGGACAGGCTCTTTGCCCCAGAACCAATTCATTAATTTATAATGGTTCTTGGATATATATGGATCTATTTTGTCTTTGTAAACTATTCACTTGTATGTCCATTTAGTTAATAGGAGGTACTGAAGAAATTCTCCCACCCAATATACATATTGTTACCAGCAAACACCTGTAGCCTGTAACTTGATTGATCTATTCCATCCGTTCTTACATTCATTATATTTATTGATTGTAATTCCTAGCCTGATCATTTATTGTGCAATTTAAACACCAGGAAGCACATGGAGATCTGTGCTTTGTGAGTATTATTGTCAACGATTTGTAAGGAAAAAATTTTTTTTAACGGTCAGTCACAATCTAATTCAGCAGCAGAGACACATCTCCCTTTAAATGCTGCAAGAACAGTTTTTTGGAGTGGCGAAACATCACTATGGGGTCCCCATTTAAGAGATTCATGGGGTCTAAAAAGACCCTATATAGGAATTTTGCATGTAGCTGTACTATCTTGCAATTTAATAATAAAACCTCCTCACTCCCTAAAAATATTTATTTTGCGCAAAAATAAAACCCAAATGATTTGTTTTCATTCTAAACCCCACAGTAAACTTAATTTCACTCAAAAAAATGAAATCAGTATTTGTAAAAAGTTTCAAAAAAAATTCTGTCATTGATCTCTTTCTTTGAGACAGCCTCTATGGCTGAGAGCTCATGGGTATGAAGTGACACCATGATGCACTCAGTCACTGTGACTGATATATATAAAGACAGCAGGTCAGGGGAGATTTGTGCCTCTTATTAGTGACTGCGGCTATCTTGACCATAGTGGATGATAGAATGAGCCAGGGAGGTCCCCACAGAGTTACATATTGATGGGCTTTCCTAAGCAATTATGGAATTCTCCTAAGCACCCCCAAGTTTTACTTTTCTTTATATACATTATTATATTTCTTTATTATTTATGTTTATTGTTTTATATTCTGTCTTATTGCCAACTCTGGAAACCTGTGTTTCTACGTGGAGTATTCCTGAAAACTCTAGATACAGATTAATACACTTTAGCATCTTCACCGTTTGTAGAAATTGACCATTTTTGCATAACAAGTACACTTTCTTTTCCAGAAGTTGCCCGTTCATTTCCTGGCAGCGGCAGTTGATACAGAGCTGACTTATGAATGAGCATGTTGCCATGGTAAACAATTTCAACAATACACTGCAGTTTATTAAGTGAACCAGGTATTTTAGAACAGTGATAAGGGGAATGCAAATTTAAGGCCAAAATAGCGAAATTGGAAAAATTATTTCTCAGTTATTCTCCTACCTAGTATAGTGTAGTCTAATATTGGCAGCTTCTTCGTCAGGTTTCCACAGTTCCTGGATTTCCTGAACCAATTCTGTAGCATTAAAAGGTTTCTCCAACCACCATTTTACTCTTCTTATTGCAGTTTTTCCTTTTTTTTTTTTTTTTTTAGAAAAAAAGAGAGAGAAACTTGGTGCACAGTGTCCAGTAGTGCTCATATACTTAAAATTAAATATAAAAAAAATAAAAATAAAAATAAACTATTGATTTGCTAATGTAATTAAATGTCTTATTTGGCAAATTAGGGAATTGATGACAATATATGTATTTCACTCACCTTCCTCTCAGATCTGCCTTGGAATTTAGCATTTTGGGAGATCAGACATGATGCTTTGAACTTCTGTGAACTAACTTGTCCTCCTAGTATTGTAGTATAGTAATGGTATTAGATTCCAGGTATAAAAAGGCATCAGCAACATGCATCTGTTTCAGCAATGTCTGGGACACAGGCAGATGACAGGCTTAGTTCCCAGTTCCCAGTTCTCAGTACTCAAATTAATTACAATAATAAATCACAATAACAAGATCAGAGGTGAAATAAAAGTCAGAGCTAAATGGGTATCCAGGATGCAACCCAGAGTTTGAGAAGATCCTAATTCAAGCACACGTGTGGTGTGGATTTTTCATCTATCTCCTAATAGCTTCTTATGGCTATAACCCTTCTAGCGCACTAGGTATAAAGAACTTCTGCAATCCCTGGAGTTGAGTATCTCCAGGGCTTCACACTTCCCCATTGCAATAATGTCGGTCCAGCCAGTTCTGTCTATTTATAGTTGGAAGATGGGTTGTCCCTCCATGACTTGTGTAGAGAAGAAGGGCATAGCCATTGTAAAGCAATGGCATAGCCATTGTATTTACTCTCATGCCTAAAATAACCCATATAATGTGACTGATCATTTTATGTATTATTGGTTCTGTTCTCACAAGGACAAAGAGAAGAAATAGTCAGCTGTAGACTCACGCAGAACTTGATAGTGCCATAATATCTCCACTTCGGACTCATGTAGAAGTGAAAAATGTTCCTGCTATCATATCTTGAGTCAAGGAACCCTGTACCTATTATAGATGCTCTGTCTGTCCTACTAGGAGATATCACCACCATGGACTCTGCCGCCAGCTTCCTCTAGCACTTTGTCTCATGTGGCCTTGCAGCATAGCTTTGGGGAGTCTCATTATGATCAGAGGAAAAATAAATAAATTCTGACCTGAGGCAATCCTTTGGTACTTTCATCAAGGATTCCACAGGCTACCGAATCTCAGTTCTATAAAAAAAACATATGAGATCTCTACATAGAAACTTTATTATGCACATAGTAGAAATCAATCAAAATAGTTATACATAACTAATAAAAGAAATATTGCTGCATTATTCTTTCTTTGAGTTACTCAACGATTTGTCCAGGCGAGTTTCTACGAGACTGAAAATATGGAGAGCATACAAGGGTTTAAATGTTAAAATATCATATCAATTTCAAGAAGAATTCAAAGATTCACGTAAAATGGTTGGTAGAAGTTGGGTGATCACTGCTAGATAAACAATACCTATCTTGGGTTGAGTAGAGGTTTAGTTTAAGCAGCTTTATTTTAGGCTCACTTAACGGTTTATTTTAGGCTCACTCACAACACAACCATGTGGGATCAAAGGTAACTGAATCAGTTACCAAAAGAGCAAACCAAGTTAAATGACATCACACCCTTGAGTAAAGCTATCCAAGACATTATGACAGCTTTGTAACATTGAGAAATCCAACCCTTCAACTTCAATGAAACTTAGTGAGTGCTAGGGAGATGTGTGGATAACCATGACAAGCATTCACGGTTTCTAGATGTCGTCAAACTAAAACAGACAGACTGCAGTTTACTCTCATAGTCATTGTGTCAATATTAAAGAACTCATGTGCACTGTAGACAAGGCTTATTATTGGATTTTTCACAACTTGTTTCCGTTTATTAGGACAGTTTTCAGATTAAATAATTAGACATTTAGCATGAACAAATTGAATAATTTAGAGAGGAATTCTTGTATGGTAACACCTCTAGACTAATACCTTTGTTCGTAAAGTATCCAGACAGTGAGTAATCAAGCCTTCAAGTTCAGAGTGCTGGGGAGATGTGCAGATAACCTTAACAGGTATTCCTTGTTTATAGATATCTTCAAACTAAAACGGGACAGTCAGCACTTTAGTCTTGCAATCATTGTGTCAATATCAAAACAATAATTTGCTTTATATGTGCAGATTATTCTGAAATTATTACTTCAGATTTTTAATAATTAGTTTCCACTTTTTACAATGTTTTCAGGCTAAATAATTAGAAATTTAGCATTGGCATATGTAATAACTCAAGAGGAATTCTTGTACATTAACATTTCCAGGTTAAATCATCTGTTTTATGGATCCAAATATAAATATATAATACTGTGACACTACTAAATTTGACTAGATGTAAGCAATTCACGTTTCAGCTCTTCAAAATGATGTTCCCTGAACTATGAGTTTATAAATTGACTTCTACAAATGCTTTTACTCCACTAGGTTGATTTAGAGATTTTCCCTAACTACAAATGGTAGCCTAAAGTTTTAACCCCTTAAGGACCAAACCTCTGAAATAAAAGGAAATCATGACATGTCACACATGTCATGTGTCCTTAAGGGGTTAAAGTTAGTATTCTCTACATCAAGCTAAACTTTCACTAACTTAGGATAGTTTGGAAAACAAAATACAGTACTATAGTTTAGTAGCACAACATATTGAAAAAAATATTCACTTTATGAAAATGCCTATACACAAGCAACACTATAGACAGAGAGACACATAGACAGATAGATAGATAGATAGATAGATAGATAGATAGATAGATAGATAGATGGATATATACAGATAAATAGATAGACAGACAGGCAGACAGACAGATAGATAGATAGATAGATAGATGGATAGATAGATAGATGGATAGATAGATAGATAGATAGATAGATAGATAGATATATTAGGAAGATAGATAGATATATAGATAGATAAGGAAGATAGACAGATAGATAGATAGATTATGAAGATAGATAGATAGATAGATAGATAGATTAGAAAGACAGACAGATAGATAGATAGATAGATAGATAGATAGATAGATAGATAGATAGATAGACAGAGAGACATACAGTCACATGGATAGATAGATAGAGAGAGACATACCGTCACATAGATAGGTAGATAGATAGATATATAGATATATAGACAGACAGAGACATACAGTCATATAGATAGATAGATTAAATAGATATATAGATAGATAGATAGATAGATAGATAGATCTTTCCACTCAGCATTTAATTGTATTTTTGGTCCAATTATAAAATGGCTACCCCACAGCCCAATCTCTTGCCTACAGGCCTGCCCATTAATTGTGGAATGCATATTTGGCACTCCCAGTCTCTGAGCTCCTTAAGAAATCCCTAAAAGCACAGTGCTTTATTAGTATTATTAATATAGCGCCAGCAAATTCCGTAGTGCTTTTTAGTGAAGCCTATCACCTTACCTATGTCTTCCTCATTCCTTACAACCTGGCAACCTTCCTCTGCTGTCGCTCATCTGCTATTCTTCTTATCCTTTCAGGTACATACAGATCATTTCATTTGGTACCCTCACTTCCTTCTGTGTACTTCTCCCTCATCCATCTGGATGGTAAGATCCTTGGTCCTATAACTAATTATAATTGTAAACAGATAAGCAGTCTTGATAAAAGCCTTTACTGGCTTGAGATGTTAATTAATGCATTGACTACAAATAAATGAAAAGTTAACCAATCCCATTTTTTTTATATATACATACAGGTTCTCGTGTAAATATTGGGAAAAAAATCCCAAGAGCATTGTATAGAGTATTGTCCGTGCAATTGGATTACTCTCATGAGAGCAGTCATTATGTTATGATAGAATAAAAACTGAGTGGGTTGTGGCTGGAATATATCGGTACAATGTGTGATCATATATTAACTATCTTAACCAACAGCATATTAGTTTAAAAAAATGTTTAGACATGCTATAAGCTTTAAAGTTAATTTGAGGTTGCCTTATCTGTACTTTGTATGTTTTTTTAAATTATCAAATGATTCCAGCAGCACCCTTATAAAGTATGCATGTTCAGATTGGTGCACAGTGGTAATGTCACCGACTTTGAACTGGGAACCACATGTTTAAATCTTGGTCTGACCAATGCACCAGTAAGTGTCTCTGGGCAAGACGAAAAATTATATATACTCTGCCCACCTCAATAATATGAGAGCAGCACGAACTAAGAGAGTCATGCTGGCATGGACGTCGCCCTGATTAACAAGGTCCGTGTCAGATGCTAGGGAACCGGGCCCTTAGACCTGCTATATATACACACACGCTATATCACAGCTAGTTAACTACATATTCAAACATTCCTAATTTCCAACTTTTTAGTCCTTGATCTGTGGAGCATAGATTATGTGATTAGAATGGTAAATCTTGCAGGCTGACTGTGTATTCAGTTGACAAACAGAAAACCACAATTTAACTGCAGATCAGGTAAAGCCCACAAATAATATCAAGATAGCATTCTGCTTACTACAGCTCACAAGACAAATATTGCCACTCAAGTGTGTGGAGTTCACATCCTTCCAAACTGAAATAATTAACCCCATTCACTACTACATTCCTTATTACAAAATAGTGTCTTACACTCTTTTTTCTTTTTCTATAAGCTATCACTGACTTTACATATCCAGTACTCGCTGATTGTTATCAATTATTTATTTTAAGTGCTCTTTTGTTATCTATCTATCTATCTATCTATCTAATTTAAATGTATAATCTTTTACATTTTGCATTCTTGTGTTACAAGCTTCAAAGCTGAATATTGTATGTTTTGTCAAATTATTTCAGCAGTACCCTTACAAAATATGCTTATTCAAATTATACAATATCATTTATGGGTTAATAGTGTACAGAAAAATTAAACAGATGTAATATTTTAGATGTTATATGGTATTCATGAATAAAATAAAAAAAAAACAAAAAAAAAACAAAAAAAAATTCAAAGTATATATATACCACTTCCAATAATCTTGTGCTTATAAAACAGTTTCAAGTCTGCAGGCTTTTCTTCAGCTGTTGTATAAGATCATTATCTTATCTCACACAGGGGGCTGCTGGCAAGGCACATTACTCTATGCCACTACCTGCTTCAAAGCTCTGAGGCTGTGAGCAGGGCTGTAAGTAAAATCTCCCCCTGCAGTACTAAAGTGAACACTCTGCTGATGCTGAGCTTAACTTAAGATATGGTCTAAATTGATTTTTTCACGTGCTAAGGATGAAGAAATAATCTAATTTGCATTGAGAAGGAGCCACATTTCACACAAAGTATGCTGTAATAGATCAAAGCATCTAAAGAACTTGCATTTAAAGAACTCTGAAGAGTATCCAATCCATTACAGATGTTTAAATATGTCTGAAAGTGCACTTACAGTTCTTAAAGATCGGAGAACCACAGCAAGTAATGTTTGTAAACAAAAAGAAAAAAAAGAAAAATTGAAAGCCAAAACAATAAAATTTTAATATCACTATACTTTTTTTCAGTGCTCAAGAAAATGTTGCTTTCATTGCAAATAAAACAAATTTTATATCTTTACGAAATCATACACAATACTGTGTTTAACAAGAAATAATAGTGCACTGTTGTTTCTACTTACATAAATGCATTTTATTGCTAATATAAAATGCTTTTATTGCAAAACAATTAAAAATCAAATATATTCTTCTCACAGAAAATCAATATTTGCCAAAAGAGAGAAAAGTCAACTAAGGTTGTATTTTTGCTTGTTTTTTGGTTTTTTTTGTAAACGAGTTGTATGTGAAAGAGTATTTTTAAGTTTTTCTCTGGTACATAGAATCTACACTGCATTAATACTCAACAATTGGACATGTAGCCAAGTTGCTACTATGCTTTAGTTGAAGTCAGGGCAAAATGTCCCTACCTAAAAAAAAAGGAAAGGTTATTCCTATAGAAACCCATGGCCTGGAGGGCTTAAAGGGACACTATTCTCACCAAAACAACATTAGATTAATGAAGCAGTTTTTGTGTATAGACCATGCATCTGAAGTCTCACTTCTCTGTCATTTAGGAGTTAAATCACGATGGTTTCTGTTTATGCAGCCCTAGTCCCACCTCCCCTGGCTGTGACTGACACAGATAGAATGAAAAAAAATGTTTCATTTTTATCAGATGTCAACTTACTT